GGGGGGGAAAAGGGTCGGGGAAAGTTTTGTTTGTTTTTTTGGGGTGTGTTTTCCCCCTTCAATAAAAGGTAGCCTGCCCCTTTAAGGGTGGCCATTTTGAATTCTCTTCTCCATGGCACACCTCCGACTGCCGTGGAACACAGTTTAAAAAACACTGCTATAGACAATGGAGATGTGTTCTGTGCAAGGCCAAAGCTATGCTTTAAAGTGGTCACTTTAAGAATGATCATTCCTGTGGCAACATAAGGTTAGGAATGTTAACTATCGGTTATTTTACTAGTTGAGTAGTCAATGGAATTTCCAATGCACTTCCGCATTTCTTGTACATTTCAAAGGAGGAATGCGGAACTCCACATCCAGCCCGGGGGGCCAGCGGGAAGTACTGTTGACTCCGGGCTGCACTCGGGTGTGCCAGCTTTGAAATGTACAAGAGTCCCCAGCTGATCCTGGGTTCCGCAGGAATTCTGTGCGGAGCCCAGGGTCAGCTGGGGGAGTACCCAGATGACTCCGGACTCCATGTGGCGCTGCCACTTTGAATGCCAAGGTAGCTTTTCAAAGGGGCAGCACAGCACAGCTGAGCCTGGGATCAGCTGTGCAGTGCTGCCGCTTTGAAGTACCCCTTCTTGCTCCCCCCCCCCCTTGCTGCCTCTATCAAATAGAGGCAGCAAGGGGAGGGGAAATCGACTAGTCAACTGACTACTTGATAAGCATTTGCTTATCAGATAGTCGACTAGTCCTTAACATCCTTACATAGGGTGTGTCTACACTGCACCGTTATTTCTGGATAACTAGTACTATTTTGAAATAACAATGCGAGTGTCTACCCAGCTATTCTGTTGTTTTAAGTTGCTTATTTTGAAATAGCACGTCTATACTGCAGGGAAGTTTTAAAATTAGCCCAAGACAGGCTTCCTTAATGTAGACATGCTATCTTGATTTAGAGCCCCAGAAGGCACTGAGAAGGAATAACTTAGAATGGCCCAGGTGAGAGGCCATTTCGAAATAGCAGCAGTGGAGCGTTTACCCACACCTTATTTTGAAATAGCTATTTCGAAATAGGCGTTATTCCTCATAGAATGAGGTTTACAGATTTTGGAATAAGCCATCCATTATTTCGAAACTATTTGAAATAAAGGAATGGCTGGATAGACGCTTACATGGTTATTTCGAAATAGTGCTGGTTATCCCAAACTAACAGTGCAATGCAGACACACCCTATGTTGCCACAGGACTTCTTGTTTTTAAAGTTACAGACTAACATGGCTACTTCCCCGGTGAAATTTTTGTAGGAGTATTAGGCACAATATTTTCAGGGGGAAAGTTCCAGTTCAGTCGAGCAACTGATAGTGAGGTTATAAGTCACTGTTTTCAAGCGTCTTCTACAGTTTAACTATTTTTAGATCTTAATAAAAGTGCAAAATCCCACAGCTTATAAATATAGCTGTGTCTGTATTGAGTAATTATCTGAACTCATTGTGATTCAGCTAGGATGAACTTTTTCATAGTGCAGGAAGTCATGTAAACTAGTGCTTGCAAGTATATTCTACAATGTTTTAATCAGTTATTTGCATTTATATTTTCTTAGAAGATGGGTGGAGAAAAATGCTTGAAAAGGCCATTTAAGGACAGTCTGGAGGATATAAAAGAACGAATGAAAGAGAAAAGAAATCAAAAATGGGCCAAGTTGGGTAAAACAAACCAGGTCTTGACTACAAAATGCAAAATAGCAAGTAAGATGCTTTACTATTTTGTTCCACAATTTTTCCGTAAGCTTGTTTTTATCACTTTTAAGTATTATTTATTTTCTTACAGCAAATAGTTCTACACAACTGAAAAGCTTTCAAGCAAACAATCGAGCACTAGCTCTGGCTTTACAAGAGGAAAAGGCCAAAATGAAAGAAGCCCAAGATATTATTCTGCATTTAAAGAGAGAGTATCAGTCTCTGAAGTTTCAGATATTTGTTTTACAAAGAAAACTTAACTTACATCAACCAAAAGAACCTGTTGAGGTATTTTCATTACAGTAACATCTTTCTGTTCTAGTACAAAATAGGTTGAAATTTGAAAGGCTTTCCAGTGCCTAAATCTTTGCACAAATAGCTCCATTGATAACAGTAGGTCTATTGAAAATAGATACAGTTAAACATGCCTAAATCTTTTCAAGATTGGGTTAAAAATTCCTATAATTGACCGTAACAGTCCTAGAACTGATTGTAAGAGGTGTGCAGCAACCACAAATTTAATTGAAATCCATGAGAGAGAAGGGGTGCTCAGCAGCTCTCAAAATCAAATGTTTCATCTAGCTCTTACTGGGAGATTTTTAGCAGTGAAGGATTTACTGGTATATCTTTAAACTGCACCCTTCTATTGCTGTTTTCCCCTGTTCTTCCCAGCCTGAAACTATGCCTAGGTTAAAACATGATTTTGAATTTCCTCAAGTGAATTTGCTGGATGCTGAAAATGTCTTTCCTGTTCATATGTACTTATTTTACAAAAGCTTTTTTTTTTTTTTCTGCAACCAGAAATAGTGTTTTTCAACATCATGAGCTGAATTAGTGATTAATTTAAATATTTCATTTGATCATGCAACTATATCTCTAATCTATATTTGTGTCAATCAGTACTTCAGTTTTCATTAGAAAAGCTGAAAATAAATCATGTATGCATAGAAATGAAATGCAATACCTACAGGTGAATTGTGCCCAAAGACTTCAGTTAAATAAATGCATAAGTGCAGTTCCAACAGATTTTAAGAGCCTGGTTCCAAATTATGTACATTTGATACTTTAACACTACCCATTTATGGTTACTTGGCTAACTTTCAATCCATGAGCTGTTATTACACATCTTATTCAATTTGAATGAGTTATCAAAAACTATTGTTAAGGTAAAGATTTTGTCACTGTTATTTTTAGTAAAAGCCATGAATAAGTTGTAGGCAGCAAACAAAAATTCATGGAAGTCAGTGACTTTTACTAAAAATAACCCCGGGGGGAGGAGTTGACCGTTCCAACCACAGCAGCTGATTGCTGAAGCTGAAGAAGTCACTGAAATTCCTTAGAAAAGGAATTTGTGACCTCCATGACAAATCATGTCCTTGGCTAAAAAGTTCAATTGGAAAACATCTTTTCCTTGAATACAAAAAGTTTTCAAATGTGGTCCAGATTCAATGAACTTTCATTACAGTGCAACCCAGTGCAGCACTTTGCTGTTATCCCTAGCTTTTAGGGTCTCTGGCAGTCCTGTCATGTGGACTGCCCCGGCGGGTTTCTAGACAGTCCACAGCTGTAGGGTCAGCCTGGCCATGCAGATTGTCCAAGATTCCTGGATCTAACAACTTCCAGGATCCATGACTCCAAGGGACTGTGTGAGTTGCGCAACAGTCAGGGATCTTAAATTCCCAGAGTCCAAAGCTTTAGGGCAGCTTGCCATGTTGAGATTTCAAGGGAGCCTGTGATGGAGCCTGGAAGTCCTGGGACTGGCTTCCAGAATCCACAGCTCTGGAACTGTTGTAGCATGTGGACTGGCAACCACACCGCTTACAGATTGTGTAGCTGGCCCAGGAACCTGGAAGCCCTGAACTTCATGGGAAAGCTGTCCAGGAGCAATAGAACCTGAGAGATGTTGACTGACAATGTTGTCAGTTTTACAGTACTATTCAAGTGAAAATGATGAGAATCATGTCAATTTCAGGTGGCATCTCCTGAGTTTCAGATTACATATTGTTTCAGAACCACCATACATATCAGGGTTTCTACAACGATTTGGTTTTTAAAATTTCTGGTTTGTGGACATTTTTAAAAAAACTATTCAATGCACACTGGAATATTTTTTTAATGTCTACATTTCTCCTAAACCAGAAATTTTCTGGTCAGCCTACAATCATTGTTATAATGGTTTGAGGTATTTCCTAGTTTTTTAAATACCTGTATTGTTCTATTTAACATTTTTAAAAGACATCCAGCATTTCAGCTGAATCTTCTGTTTTTTATTCCTCATCCTTTTCTATTTCTCCTTGCCATTTTTAATACTGTTCAACCTCATACCTATTTATTAAAGTCTTTTTTACTCATCTTAGCACCAGCATTAATAGAATTGATTAGACATTTCCCTCACCACCACCAACTTTGAAAAATGTTTGATTTTTGGAATTTTCAAATTTTCACTGAAAACCCAAATATTATGAAATTAATGTTGTTTTCATGAAAAAAAATGAGTTTTGGAAAAAAAATCTGTTGAAACAACTTCAGACAACTAAGTACTAATTCTAATTTTTGCTGCCCTTTACTTTTCTTCTGCAAGTTGTAACTGATTCTCTTCTGGTTAGTTATTTTTCTTAGTATAGTAGAATACACGTGGTAAACTTAAATAGAGAAGTAACCTAATAGCACAAGAGAGAGTTCTGCATTGCTTATTTTAAACAATTACAATAAGATTGATTTTTTTTTTCCTTCCACTAGACCAGATTGTCAGTCTTGAGCAAGATTATCTCTAAAGTGGCTCAAAACCTACTTACTACAGCTGATCTTCTTGGTCCAGCTCAGGATTTGTGTTCCACTGATCTTGTAAGTCCATCCTGTTTTTTCTTGGATTTGCATGTGTTTTTTGTGGATTTTAGTATTTTGGTTCTTGGATGAGATTTTCAAACATGACTTGGCATAAGTCCCATTAGCTTTCAGTATGATCTGTGTTCCTAAGTCGCTGCTTACAAAAATCCCACTTCTTATCATTCATTCAACATCCACAGGATGATGCAGCATCAAGGACATTCCCTATTCTGGCGCTCGGAATGCAGAAGGTGGCGGCCCACGAGAGACTTTAAAAATTCCTTGCCTTTATAGGCTTCTGCTTAAAAACTTCCAAGGTCACTTAGGTAGTATGCTGCCACCACACATTGGGGGGAAAAACCCTTTTCAAACCCAGAAAGATTCACTTGGGAACTTCTTCCAGGGGCTTACTCCAAACTTTTTTACCACAAGAGATCTTGGGGAAAAAAAACCCAAAAAATTGTAATCTCTGATAGGTGACTGTAGCTAATTTGAGCTCATTTTGTGCCTTTGCCTTTCTAATCTTGCACCTGTATACCTGTATTGTTTGCCCTTGCCTTATTCATCCTTTGGTTGTGTCTAGACTACAGGGTTTGTCGACAAAAGTACACTTTTGTATCCCTGCATCTACACTGTCGTTGAGTTCTGTCGACATAACATCGACAGAACTCAGCAGTTTTGTCTGGCTGTAAACCTCATTCTATGAGGAATAACGCTTTTTGTCGACAGTTCTGTTGACAGAAGGCATTATTGCATCTACACTGTGCTTTGCGTCTACACTGTCATGTCAACAAAGCGGCTTGCTTTGTCAACCGAACTGGATGTAGTCTAGATGCTCTTTGTCAACAGTATCTTAGTTTTGCTTCCCATGGTACCTTAGCCTACCAGCTCTCTAAGTTTACTAAAATCTGCCTTCCTGAAATCCATTGTCTATTTTGCTGTTCTCCCTTCTACCATTCTTTAGAATCATGAACTCAAGATCACTGTCACCCAAGCTGCTTTCCATTTGCTGTGGTCAAGTTTCCTATGGTCCCATTAAAATTGTTTATAGCCTCCAGTCCTGGCTCTGTGTTCTGTGCTGTTATTTAGCTCAACCTTACCCCTACATGCTTTCTAAGAGCCCAGTAAGCAGTGGAAGTGTCGGTAATGGTGCTAGACAATATTGGCCTCCCCTTGGTTTGGCAAATTCTCTGATTTGGCACTGGTCAGGTCCCCAGGGTGCCAAACTGGAGAGGTTCAACCTTTACAAACATCCTAAATGCATGACCTGTTTGAAAATACAGGGAGTCCCCGGGTTACGTACAAGATAGGGACTGTAAGTTTGTTCTTAAGTTGAATCTGTATGTAAGTCAGAACTGGCGTCCAGATTCAGCTGCTGCTGAAACTGACCAGCGGCTGACTACAGGAAGCCCGAGGCAGAGTTGCTCTGCCCCGGGCTTCCTGGAATCA